AACCAACCCCCAGGGAGAGAGAGGGCCCTGCGACGGTAGACCGAAGTCAATACCCCGGGCGTGAGAGGAGAGAGGAGCCAGACTCCCCTAGGCCGAGGCCAAAGGCAGGAGTGGGCGGGAGGGTGGAGAAAGTTTCGCGACGAAACAAAAAACTCACGATAAAAACCGTGGTGTTGAGTTTTCAATCGCCGGAGGTGTAGCGGAGACGGAGGATGGTCTGAAAGCTAAGGAGGCACCTTGATATTTATATTCCGCATCTGGGTAGTTGCGGGCTATATCTATCTATCACCAAACAATGTACCGTCCCTAATTCCTATCCCTTACTATCGTACGGGGATTGCGTTTGACCCTGACAAACTTTGTGTCTTGCTCGGACTATGGTTTCCATGCGTTGTCCTGTTTCCTCGAGGGCGTTCGAAACCTCTCAGGCGAAAACGCATGATTCCTTCATCTCGGAGGTTTAGGTATGAGTGAGTGGTCTCACCTCGAGCCAACTCACTATCCTCTTTACTTTGTCTGGAGTGATCAGCTCAGTCGAGAGTCTTATCAAATGCCTCATTGTCTTTGCAACTTGACTGCATTGACTTTGAGGACTTCCTGCCATGATCGGACTAGTCAACGTCGGGGAAAACTTCCTCATCCACAGATAGGCCTCCGGTTGGCTCTACACTATGTGAGCACTAGACTGGACTTAGTGCCTCGTCCTTATGGGCACGTCCCGATAATGAATTGGACTGTTGGCGATTTTGTCCCAACACCTTCTGTCCATGTCTGAGGTGGTCAACCTCGCTTAGTTCGTAGCTCCACGGTTACCTGTCCGATTGACTCCATTTCACTTTTCAGACACGGCCTGAGGTCCCTTCTTATATATCCTGCGAACAGCTTCCAGTCGGACAGACGGCAACGATGTATACAGTGTTATGAAGCATGCTTCGTTTTCACTGGTTTGTGCTGTTGGGACGCCAAATTCCATTGATACTATTACTGCGTGCAGGCCCAATGGCGGGGCCTGAGGGGGGTCTTGGCTGTGAAATCTTCGCGGTTTTCGGGAGGTCTGTGCGTAGAGAAGGTCTGTGCATCTATGTGTGTAACACTACCATGCTTTCCTGTTATACACTTTTTGGCGCTGTACTCTTTGTCCTGCAGGCTCTCCTCCACTGTACACTCCTACTATGTTCTCCAGCCATTTACTCCTACTGTACTCCCAAAGTGCTCTCCTGAAGCACTCTCCTGAAAAACAGACAAACAATTAATATACAATAAGCAAACCAAATAGAAGGAACAGGGTGAGGAAATGGGAGAGTGGAAAAGAAAGGAAAATAAGGAAAAGAGGAGAAAGTAAGCATGCCAAGCAGCATTTTACTCTTTGTAATACTCCTACTCTGCAAGTCATGCTTGCTCCATAGGAAATTGAACATAGAAACAAATTCAAGAAAACTTTTGCTCCTACAACTCTTCCTCATACTTTTATCATTTCTGTATTTTCTGTTTGCTTTACTCAAATGCTGCCAATCCTTCCAGCTATCTATACCCATCCACACCACTCCTACTACTGCTTCCACTCAATGCAAGCCCCTTCCTGCCTGGAACCTCTTCAGCTGTTTCTTACTCAAATTCTTAGTCAGATAGGCTGCAACTATGTCCTTAGTTTGAAGGTACTGGGGGACAATTTGGCTAGTAGTGACATTCTCTTTGATATAGTAGTCCTGAATGCCAATGTGCTTGGTGCAGGCATAAAACTCAGGATTGTGTGAACAACTAGGGATAGCTTCCTGGTTATTGAAATAGATCTTTGTAGAATATATTAGAGGTTCTGCGGTACTTTAAGTCATCCAGTTGGGCAGTAGTCAATGCCTATCTGACTGTTGTAGTCTTACCCTGTCCAGAATGATGCCAAGCCCATCTGGACTGGCTTGGCATCCTCCTGGATAGGGTGGACTAGTATCGACTATTATTTGACTCTGATACTACCCGAAGGCTATGTTGTTACTTTTTTTTCTCAGCAAACCCCTTTCATGTTTCTATCCCTTCTTTTTACCACACTTTTACTCTTTACTGCTCTTTCTTTGGTTTTGTTACCCCTCTTTTTCTACTTCCTTTACTTCTTTTTCAGTCTTCTCAACCTCTTTACTCCCTCCTCTCTTCTAGTCCCTCTATCTCCCTTTCTATTCAGCTCTATTATTACCACCTTTCTCCTCCTATTTATTACATAATCTATTTTTAAATTCTTGTATTTTAAAATAGATACTCTATGAGTGGGTTAGATAACCTATAATAAAACTATCAT